TCATGCACCAGGCCTCTAGTATATATATATATATATATATATATATATATATATATATATATATATACACACACACACACACACACACATTAAATAGCCAGATTATTATGTGTTCAGAAATGATAATAATCTGGCCACTCGCCGAAACCGGTTTGGCTCAATGGTAGAGCGTCAGTCTACGGACTGAAAGGTCCCAGGTTCAATTCCGGTCAGGGGCATGTACGTTGGTTGCAGGCACATCCCCGGTAGGGGGTGTGCAAGAGGCAGCTGGTCAATGTTTCTCTCTCATCGATGTTTCTAGCTTTCTATCCCTCTCCCTTCCTCTCTGTAAAAAGTCAATAAAATATATTTTAAAAAATTATATAGGTTTCAAGTGCACAATTACGTCATACATCATCTGTATATTGCATTGTATGTTCACCACCCAAAGTCCAATCTCCTTCTGTCACCATATGTTTGACCTCCTTTACCCATTACTACCTCCCTGGTTTTTTTGTTGTTTTATTGTTTTTTAAATATATTTTCTTGATTCTGTACAAAGAGGAAGGGAGAGAGATAGAGAGTTAGAAACACTGATGAGAAAGCCATCAATAAACTGCCTCCTGCACACCCCCTACTGGGGATGTGCCCACAACCAAGGTACATGCCCTTGACTGGAATCAAACCCGGGACCCTTCAGTCCCCAAGCCAACTCTATCCATTGAGTCAAACCGGTCTCGGCACTACCTCCTTGTTTTGATAGCCAATCACGACTCCTGCCAACCGAACATGCAGTTGCCCATTTCATACAATCTGTCTCGATGTTTTCACCGAATAAATGGGTGAAAAATGGCACATCATTTTTCATATTTTACTCTTTTCCTGATAAATTATAATATGGTTTATTAATTTTCTAGGTGTTTTTGGCTACCTGTATTAGACTTTTTAAAAATTGGGTCACCTTTTTCTTATTGACTTGTAGGAGGTTCTTTATAAACAGTGAATATTAATATAAATATATTAATATGACATAAACATTGAGCCCTGGCTGGTGTGACTCCGTTGACTGTAGTTTCATCCCATACACCAGAAGGTGGCGGGCTGAATTCCAGGTCAGGACACATACCCAGGTTTTGGGTTTGATCCCCTATTGGGGCATGTGCAGGAGGCAACCGATCGATGTTTCTCACATCAATATTTCTCTCTCTCCCTCTCTTTATCTCTCTAAGATTAATTTATTATTATTTTTTAAATCCTCACCCAAGGATTTTTTTTAAAGACAGTGGAAGGAAGAGGGAGAGACAGAGAGAAACACTGATGTGAGAGAAATACATCAATTGGTTGCTTCCTACATGCCCCCTAACCAAGGTCAGGAGCCTGTAACTGAGGAACATGCCCTTGACCAGAATCGAATCCAGGACCCTTCAGTCCACAGGCTAACGCTCTATCCACTGAGCCAAACCAGCTAGGGCTCTAAGATTAATTTTTAAAATAAATAAAATATAAAGTTGGCTGTGGTTTTGAAATATTAAAAAAAACAACACTTAGGATTTAAAAAACAACATAAGAATCAATGGAAGAAATGTCCTCAGGTAAGGGTTAACAACAACAAAAATTTAAATATATTTTACTATCCTGCCGAAACCGGTTTGGCTCAGTGGATAGAGTGTTGGCCTGCGGACTGAAAAGTCCCGGGTTCGATTCTGGTCAAGGGCATGTACTTGGTTGCAGGCACATTCCCAGTAGGGGATGTACAAGAGGCAGCTGATCGATGATTCTCTCTCATCGATGTTTCTGACTCTCTATCCCTCTCTTTTCCTCTCTATAAAAAATATATATATATATTTTACCATCCTATCCTATATAATAAAAGGGTAATAGGCGCCGAAACCGGTTTGGCTCAGTGGTAGAGCATCGGCCTGCAGACTGAAAGGTCCCGGGTTCGATTCCGGTCAAGGGCATGTACCTTGGTTGCGGGCGCATCCCCGGTGGGGGGTGTGCAAGAAGCGGCTGGTCGATGTTTCTCTCTCATCGACGTTTCTAGCTCTCTGTCTCTCTCCCTTCCTCTCTGTAAAAAAAATCAATAAAATGTATTTTTTTAAAAATTAAAAAAAAAAAAAGGGTAATAGGCAAATTGACCCTAACGGCAGAATGACCAGAAAGACCGCTCGACCAGTCACTATGATCGCAGGCCAGGCCTAGGGACCATACCTGTGCGTGAATTTCGTGCACCGGGCCTCTACCATAAATGTAATTTGCATGACGATGTATAAATTAGGGTTCTTAAACCTGTTATATACACACCAAGTCTTTTTTCTTAGTTTGTCATTTGCCTGTTTGTTGTCGTGTTAATCTTCACCTGAAGGTATTTCTTCCACTGGTTTTTCAGAAAGAGTGGAAGGAAGAGAGACAGAGAGAAACATCGATGTGAGAGAAACATGATTGGCTGCCTCCTGCACACTCCCAGTTGGGGCCAGGAATCAAGCATGTAACTGAAGTACATGCCTTTGACCAGAATTGAACCCAAGGCCCTTCAGTCCTCTGGCAGATGCTCTAACCACTGAGCAAACAGGCTACGGTTGTCATTTGCCTTTTAACTTTGTTTACACTATCTCTTAACATTCGAAAGATTCAAATTATAATTTTCTCAAATCAACCAATCTTTTCCTTTATGGATTTAGGGGTTTATGTCTTGCTTTGGAAGACTTTTCATACCCCAAGATTATAAAAAATATTCTCCCATTAAATTTCTTGTAACACTCTTATTGTAAAAATATTATTTTTGGTTAACATAAGTTATCCTGATGCTATCTATCCTCACCCAAGGATTTTTTCCATTGATTTTTATTCCCGTTGAGTTTTAGTGAGAGTAGAAGGAAGGGGGGGAAAAGGGGCAGAGAGGAAGAGAGAGAGAAACATGGATCAGTTGCTTTCCTTATGTGCTCCAAATGAGGACTCAGGTATGTGCCCTGACCAGGATGGAACCTGCAGCCTTTTGGTGCACAGGACAACATTCAACCAACTGACCACTCTAGCTGGGCTACTGTACTTTCCTTTTTTTCCAAAATATATTTTTATTGATTTCAGAGAGCCCTCAACTTGGGCATGTGCCCTTGACCAGAATTGAACCTGGAACCCTTTAGTCCACAGGCCGACGCTCTATCCACTAAGCCAAACCAACTAGTGATATCGTACTTTTTATTTTTTAATTTTATTTATTTATTTATTTAAATGGCGAGCCAGGTTTTTTTATTTAATATATTTTATTGATATTTTACAGAGAGGAAGGGAGAGAGACAGAGAGCTAGAAACGTCGATGAGAGAGAAACATCGACCAGCCGCCTCTTGCACCCCCCCCACCGGGGATGCGCCCGCAACCAAGGCACATGCCCTTGACCGGAATCGAACCCGGGACCCTTCAGTCCGCAGACCGACACTCTACCCCTAAGCCAAACCGGCTTCGGCGGTTTTGTACTTTTTAAAAAATCACTTGTCACTATCTTGGCTGGTTTGGCTCAGTGGATAGAGTGTCAGCCTATAAACTGAAAGGTTCTGGGTTCGATTCTGGTAAAGGCACATGCCCAAGTTGAGGGCTGGATCCTCAGTGGGGAGCATGCAGGAGGCAGCCGATCCATGATCCTCTCTATGTTTCTCTCTCTCCCTTCCTCTCTGAAATCAATAAAAAAAATATATTTTTAAAATCCTATATAATAAAAAGTAATATGCAAATTAACCTCACCCCCTCATAAGATGGCTACCTACAACAGGCTGGCAGGGGGGTTAGTGAGGGATGATCGAACTACTGAACAGCAGGCAGCGTGGGGTAACCAGGCCAGCAGGGGAGTTAGTGAGAGACAACCAAACAATTGAACAGCAGGCTGTGTGGGGCAGCCAGGCTGGTGGGGGGGGGGGCAGTTAGGGGTGATCAGGCTGGCAGAGGGGGGCAATTGGGAGCAAACAGGTCGGCAGGAGGGGCAGTAAAGAGTGACCAGGCTGGGAGGGGGGGCAGTTAAAACAACCAGGCCAGTGGGGTGGGGAGATGCAGTTAGGGGTGACCAGGCTGGCAGGGGGGATAGTTGGGGGCAATTAGGCTGGCGGGGAGGCAGGGCAGTGAGGGGTGGACTAGGCCAGCGGAGAGAGGCATTTGGGGGTGACCAGGCTGGCAGGGGGAACAGTTAGGGGCAACCAGGCAGACAGGCAGGTAAGCAATTAGGAGCCAGAGGTCCAGGATTGTGAGAGGAATGTCCTGGTTTAGGCCTGATCCCCAGGATTGAACCTAAACTGGCAGTCAGGCTGAAACCAGTCTGGCTCAGTGGATAGTGCGTCGGCCTGCAGACTGAAAGGTCCCGGGTTCGATTCCAGTCAAGGGCATGTACCTTGGTTTCGGGCACAATCCCAGTAGGGGGTGTGCAAGAGGCAGCTGATCGATGTTTCTCTCTCATTGATGTTTCTAACTCTCTATCCCTCTCTCTTCCTCTCTGTAAAAAATCAATAAAAAACATTTTAAAATAAACAAACAAACAAACTGGCAGTCAGACATCCCCCTCAGGGGTTCCAGATTGGAGAGGGTGCAGGCTGGGTTGAGGGGGGCCCTTGCCTGTGCATGAATTTCATGCACTGGGTCTCTAGTAATAAAATAAAAATAAAAATCACTTTTCAGGATTTACATGTTGTTCATGGTGTGAGAGAGGGGTTCTTCCCCTCTCCTCCCCTCCCCCCACAATTGGGAGAACCAGTCTATGGTCTTAGAGAACCAGAAGTTCAGTTAATTGTTCAGCTAGATTTTAGGTCTAATTCGTAAGTAACTAGTATGGTCCTGGGATTTGATCTATGTTCCCTGCCTTTGTGCCTACATCCCTACAAGGAAGACATTAGGACCTATTTCCCAGATGAAGACATTGAGGCCAGAGAGAGGCAGTGCCTGGGCCGGGCTCACAGAGAGAGAAGGGAGGAGAAGGGAAGGGCTGAGGAGGTTGGGGGAGAGGATGACTCTCGGGAAAGAGCCTGAGCCTCGATCTCACCTCCAGGCAAGGACCAGCGTGCAGTCTGCCAGGATGCACATCTTAGCCAGCTCCTTGAGGGCCTGCTGAGGGTCTTTCTGGGTAGAGAAGAACATCAGAATGAGCGACCTGGGAGAAAGCAAGGCGTTGTAGTCTTGAAAACACAGTGGCTTAGGATGCCGGGAACCTTCCATTCATTGACACTCCCTAAGCTCCTATGGGTGCCTGGCCTGTGCTGGGCAGTGCTGGGAGCCAGCAGTGACCGAGACAGCCTGGTTCTATCCTTCTGGAGCTCGCCGTCTGAAGGGACAGACCCATCCTCAGACAGTGAGCACCAGTGGCCAGAGCTGGAGGGGCTGGGGGCGGAGACTCCAGAGGAGCAAGTGGCCTGGGAAAGCTCCGAGGAGGAGACGTCTGAGCTGAGACCTGACGGAGGATGAAGAAGAGGAGAGGCAGCTCAGGAGAGCAGAAAAGGGAACCTTAAACAGGGAAGAGCGTGTGCAAGGAAGGGAGAAAAGAGAGGGTGTGAGCAATGGGATGGAGGATGGGAAAGAAAGGTTTGCTTGTTGTTAATTGATCTGAGAGAGAGAGAGAAAGGGGGAAAGAGGGAGGGGGAGAAACATCGATGTGTTGTTCCACTTATTCATGCATTCATTGGCTGATTCTTGTATATGCCCTGACCGGGGGTCAGACCTGCAACCTTGACATATTGAGACAACACTCCAACCAACGGAGCCGCTGGCCAGGGCAAAAGAGAGGATTTTCACGTGGAAAAAAGGCATGAGGGCAGACAGCGGGGTGAGAACACAGAGCTTCCTGGCCATGGAGAGCACTGGAAAGCCACTTAGGGTGTTTTTGGTTGTTGGATATTTTTCCCACTGATTTTTGAGAAAGAGTGGAAGGGAGGCATGGAGAGGGAGATAAAGAGACAGAGAGAGGGAAACACTGATGTGAGAGAGACACAATGATTGGTTGCCTGACGAGGGCCAGGGATCGAACCTTCAACCCAGGTCCGTACCCTTGACCAGAAATCAAACTGGAGACCCTTCAGTGCTTGGGCCGACGATCTAACCACTGGGCAACAATGGCCAGGGCCCATTTAGGGGTTTTAACACCAGACCCTCGGTGCGTTAGGAGGACCCCTCTGGCGGCTTTAAGGAGGAGAGGGGTCAAGGCTGGAGGCCAGGAGACACAGGGAGAGGCTGGGGCAGGGACCCAGGCATGAGAGGGGCCTAAATCGGGCCAGGCTGTGCGGACAGAGAACATAAAACAGATTCAAGTAAGATGTAGGGGCGGAGTGCTGGGACTAGTTAAAGCCGGTTGGGGAAGAAGGAGATGGGTCACTTTACCCTCCCACCTCCTTACAACACAGGGCGCCACCGTGTGAAGGCGGGTCCTCCCTGAGGCTTCCCCTGGCATTTCTCCTCGGAAGGGGTTCAACGGTCCCCTTGGCGACCAGGAGGCCGAGGCCCCCGCTGCGCAGTGGGGACGGAGCCGGAGGGGAGCACCCAGCTTACCACGTCCACCTGCACCAGCAGCACCCGCAGCGCGAAGCTCTTCCCCAGGCTCTGCAGCCGCTCATGGATGTAGTCCCGGTGGAGGTTGTGGTAGCGGAGGCTGGGAGGGGAGAGGCAGGAGTGAGGGGTCTCCTGGCCCGAGTTCCGGGGAGCCCCCTTCATTCTAACACGCGGGGAGCGGGGCAGCCTGGCCGGGCGCTGAGGCTCGGGGTCAGTGCCTCCCCCTGCAGGAGAGGCACAGAGGGGCTGGCAGAGGGGCTGCCCGGCTCAGGCTCTCTGCAAGGTCGGCCCTGGGTCTTCCCTGAGGAGGGGAGACTGGCTTCGGCCGAGGAGGCCAGCGCCCTAGAGAGCAAGCCCGGGACACCGCGCAGCTGGTCAGAGAAGCAGGGGCCACCCCAGGGCTCTGGCTGGTGGGGATGGAGGGGGCATCTCCACCTGGGAGCCAGGGACATCTCTGCCCGGGAGCCGCCCGCCCTCACGCCTGCAGGGAGCCGGGAACTTAGAAATTTCACTTCCCCTGGGCCTCTGCCTGGAGAGGCACTAGGGTGTAACGGGGTGGAGGACAGGGAAATCCTGGCTCTGGTCACCTTCCGTTCTGGATGTTGAGGCCATGAGTGACCTGGCCCCCAGGCTGCTCAGACACAGGAGTCTGGGCCCAGCCCTTGTCACTCCGGGCGCCCCCAGTCCAGCCTCTTCCTCCCACCCTAGGCCCATGGCTACAGCCCCATGCCCGGTGGCCCCCCGGGAAGAGCCCAGCACCCGGCGCACCCTCCGCGCCCTCCTGGAGGCGGACAGCCGGCTCACCTGAGGAAGAGGGCGCAGGTGCTCTGGCCCAGCACATAGTCGGGAACCACGTCGCCGAATTCCCAGGGCACGTTGCGCACAAACTTCAGCACCGGGTTGCCCCTCTGGGGAGGGAGGGAGAGCGGAAGCCATTAACAGGGAGGACCCTGGAGCCACGGCCACCCCAGGGCCCCCACCCCCCAGCTCTCTCAGCACCTCCCCACCCTTCTCCTGCCCGGCGCCTGGGTCTTGCAACTTCTCTCTCCTCCTCTGCCTGGCCAGTTTGGCTCAGTGGTTAGCATGGAACCATGAACCAGGAGGCCATGGTTAGATTCCCTGATGCCCGTGAGGAAGGGAAAGGGAGAGAGAGAATCATCAATGATGAGAGAGAACCACTGATCAGCTGCCTCCTGCACGCCCCACACTGGGGATCCCGGACATGTGCCCTGACCGGAAATGAACCATGACCTCCTGGTTCGTAGGTCGATGCTCAACCACTGAGCCACACTGGCCAGGCAGGCTCTCCTCCCCCTGGGCCCAACATGTCCTTGGCACTCCAGCTCTGACCTTGGCCCTTCTCCCCGAGCCCCAGGCTGGAACTGAAGGATCCCTGTGTCTGTCTCTAACTCCCCAGCCCAATGTGAGTGTCCTGTGGCCCCACCAGACACTTCCCCTGGACGCTCACCTCCCTGTGTCCAAACGCCCTCAGCATCTGCCCTCACACCTCCTCCCCCTCCTGGCTCTACCGCCCGCTGTGGCTCCCCGGCGCCTTCAGGGGGAGTCTCATGTGGCTCCACACAGCAGGCTCCTCTCACGTTCTACCTTGAACTTACCCTGTAGCCTAAAACTGCAGTACTCTGAGGAAGTCAAGCTCCAATCCATCCAGTAAGTATTTACTTATTTATTTAAATATATTTTTTATTGATTTTTTACAGAGAGGAAGGGAGAGGAAAAGGGAGCTAGAAACATTGATGAGAGAGAAACATCGACCAGCTGCCTCCTGCACACCCCCCACCGGGGATGTGCCCACAACCAATGTACATGCCCTTGACCGGAATCGAACCTGGGACCCCTTAATCCACAGACTGACGCTCTATCCACTGAGCCAAAACGATTTTGCACATCCAGTAAGTATTTAATGTGCCTAAGAACTGGGGATATAGCAGTAACCCAGACAGACAAAACCCCTCCTCTCCTGCGGGACCCAGTCGCTCAACAAAATGATCTCAGGGATGAACGTGTAATTGCCAGTGAGGGGATGGGATCTAAGAGGGTGGGACCTGCTTCCGTGGTGGGTGTGGGTTGATCAGAGCAGCTGGGGCAGGAAGTCTGTAGGGGTCCACAATCACACAGGCCCTAGGCCATCTAACTGGAGGCTCGTGGGAGCCATGAAAAGGGGCGGGATCATATTTTAATTTTTAAAGGATACTAGAGGCCTGGTGCAAGAATTCATGCACCAGTAGGGCCCCTCGGCCTGGCCCATGTGATCAGGCCAAAACCAGCTCTCTGACATCCCTTCTGAGAGATGCAGAAGGTTGGGCAGCCTGGGAGGGACAATGGGAGGGCTCCAGGGCCTGTCTGGCTGTCTCACTCAGTCCTGATCAGCAGACCCCAGCAGCAAGCTAACCTACCTCTCAGAGCATCTGCCCCCTGGTCATCAGTGCATATCACAGCAACTGGTTGACTGCCCCCTGGTGGTCAGTGCTCGTCATAACAAGCAGTTGAGCAGCCTTAGCGTATCATTAGCATATTATGCTTTGATTGGTTGAACAGCCGACCAGTCAACTGGACAATTAGCGTATTAGGCTTTTATTATATAGGATGACCAAACGCAAAAGGACAGACCATGACAGGTGGGGAGAATATGGTGAAATTGGGACATTCACACATCACTGGTGGGAATGTAAAACAATGCAACTTTTTAGAAAATAGTCTGGGAGTTCCTGAAAAAGTTAAACATGGAGTGGTCATGTGACCCAGCAAATCCCAAATCAATACCCAAGAGAACGGAAACCACTCATCTGCACAAAACTTCACAGCATTTTTATAATAACAGAAACGTACACATAACCCAGTGGACTGTCCACCAATGGATGAATGGAGAAACAAGATGTGGCAAATCCACAGAATGGAATACTGCTCAGCAATGAAAAGGGATGCGTGAACCTTCAACAAGCTCAGGGCAAGAAGCCAGGCATCAGGTGATGGGCGTCTGAGTTTCACCCACTTTTTGGCTATTGTCAATAATGCCGCTATGAACATTTGCGTACAAGATTTGGTGAAAGTACATTTTCTTTTTTTCCCCTTTTTAAAAAAAATCTATTTTATTGATTTCTTACAGAGAGGAAGAGAGAGGGATAGAGAATTAGAAACATCGATGAGAGCGAATCATCGATCAGCTGCCTCTTGTACACTCCCCCAAGGTACATGCCCTTGACCGGAATCAAACCCGGGACCTTTCAGTCCTCAGTCTGACGCTCTATCCACAGAGCCGAACCGGTTTCGGCTGGACGTACATTTTCATCACCCTCCGATATGTACCCAGAAGTGGACTTGCTGGGTCATGTGCTAACTCTATTATTAAGTAATTAAGGAGCTGCCAGACCATCCTCCATGGCTGCACCATTTTACATTCCCACCAGTGTCTGAGGGTTCCAGATCCTTCACAGCCTCACAGCGCTCATCACCGTCTGTGCGCTCCAGTCTAGCCATTCCAGTAGGTGTGGGTGGAATCTCAATGTGTTTATTTTAAAAAAATATACGTTTACTGATTTCAAAGAGGAAGGGAGACGGAAAGAGAGATAGGAACATCAATAATGAGAGAGAATCATGGATTGGCTGCCTCCTGCACACCTGGGCAGATGCCCTGACCGGGAATCAAACCACTGAGCCACGCCAGCCGGGCACTCATTGTAGTTTTGATATGCGCTTCCCTGATGGCTAATGATATTGAGCATCTTTTCACACCTATTTTTTTTAATGGTTGCCAGTTTTACAGATGTCCCCCAATTCTTCCCAGTCCCTGCCCCACCCCATCTTTTCACATTCTGGAGTCCTATCATTGTCTTTGTATAAAGAACACCAGCTCCATCCATTGTAGAGACTGTATGTTTCCTTTCTATCACTCTATCCCCAGAGCCTAGAACAGCATCTGGCAACCTCTGAATGTATTTGTGGACTATAAGTGGATGAACCCCCATTTTATTTTATTTATTTATTTTTAAGTATATTTTATTATTTTACAGAGAGGAAGGAAGAGAGAGAGAGAGAGAAACACCGTTCGGCCGCCTCCTGCACACCCTCTACTAGGGATTGAGCCTGCCACCAAGGTACATGCCCTTGATCAGAATTGAACCCGGGACCAGTTAGTCACGGGCTGACGCTCTATCCACTGAGCTAAACCAGTGGTTAGGGTGTGAACCCCATTTTAAAAGCACAGATGGGTAAGCCACTTGCCCAAGATCACACAACGACTATGTAGCGCAGCAGGATTTGAATTCGGGTCTGTGTTCAATAAATACTTTTTGAATAAAGGAGCAAAACTGGGGTTAGGAAATGTAGCTGCACTAACACAATCACACCCCCAACAGGAGTAGTCAGCCTGCTGTGGATGGAATGTGTGTGTCCCATCAAAACTGAAACCTGACCCTCAATGTAATGGGATTAGGAGGTGAGGGGAGGTGATGAGGTCATGTGGGTGGAGCCCTCAGGAAGGGGATTAGTGCGCTTATAAAAGAGACCCCCGAGCTCCCTCACCCCTTCCTTCACGTGAGGACAGTGGGCAGACAGCCCTCTATGAACCTCTGCAGACACCAATTCTGTACGTGCCTTAATCTTGAACTTCTCAGCCTCCAAAACTGTGAGAAATAATTCCAAAACGTTTGTCTACGCCACCCAGTCTATGACATTTTTGTTATAGCAAAATAAGACATGTGGGGAGGCATCAATCTACACACAGTAGTTGAATGAATGAATGGATGGATGGATGGATGAATGGATGAATGAATGAACTGTGCTGCTGAGAGGACAATGGCCAGAACTTCCACCTCCTTCCACTGCATACCAGAAAGTCATCCTTATTACTATTTTTCCCACCAAAACTTAAAGCCCCACTTCTCCATCCTCCTCCTCACCTGCCGGGGGCTCACAATGATGCTGTTGGATTTCGCCCCTGGTTTGGGAGCCTGGTTGGGGGTCTCTCCTGCCTGGGGTTCGGGCCCGCTGGGGGGGGCGGCTCCAGCCCCGCCTTCAGGTCCGGAGATAGCATACTCCGCGTAGGTCTGAGGGGCGGCCTGCGGTGAGGTCTCCGTGGTGGGATGGCTCCGAGGGGATCGGAATAAGGGCTTGACCTGTGAGGAGAGAGGGTGGGAGGGATCAAAATCAGAATCTCTCCACTTCTCCCAACTTCTCAGCCTCCACCTTGGTCCCAGTCACCTTCCCCTCTCCCTTGGACCATGGTCATCACCTCCTCACCAGTGCCCTGCCCAACCCTCACCGCCCCCCACACTGTCATATCATGTCCCTCCTCTGGCCAGAGCCTGCCTCAGGGTAAAAGCAAAGCGGTCGCCACAGCCCACTCTCCTTGCTTTCTCTGCTCAGCCCACTGGCCTCCGTGCTGCCCTCACACGTACTAGGCTCTCTCTGACCTCAGAGCCTCTGCACCCAGATGTCACACAGCTCACTCCATCACCTACTCAGGTCTCTGCCACGATGTCCCCTTCTCCGAGAGGCAGTCCTCTGACTGTCCCACCTAAGGCCCCACCTCTCCTCCATCACATCTTATATCCTTAGTCTAAATTCTTTTTTTTTTTTTAATACATTTTATTGATTTTTCACAGAGAGGAAGAGAGAGGGATAGAGAGTTAGAAACATCGATGAGAGAGAGAGTCATTGATCAGCTGCCTCTTGCACACCCTTTACCGGGGATGTGCCCGCAACCAAGGTACATGCCCCTGACCGGAATCGAACCCGGGACCTCTCAGTCCACAGGCCGATGCTCTATCCACTGAGCCAAACCAGTTCCCTCTTTCTTTTTTTAAATATGGTTTTGTTGATTTCAGAGAGGGAGAGGGAAAGGGGAGGATAGAAACATAATGATGACAGAGAATCATTGATCAGCTACCTCCTGCACACACACACACACACACACACACCCCTTACTGGGGAGCAAGCCCAGTGCCCTGACCTACATAGAGCTGTGATGTCCCAGTTCATAGGTCAAAGCTCAACTATTGAGCCACACTGGCTGAGCGCACTTTCTTTTCTTCCTAGCCCATGAGCAGCAGCCAGTACTCAGCACCAGCCAACTGCTTTCCTGTGAGAGATCTCCATGTTGCCAGACCTTCGACTGACCAAGGAGCAGACCAAAAGATGTCAAAAGTGCCAGCTTTCTTTTAAAATTGCAAAACCTTCCAATTCTTTTTTAAAATATATTTTTATTGATTTTTTACAGAGAAGGAGGAAGAGGAATAGAGAGCCAGAAACATCAATGAGAGAGAAACATCGATCAGCTGCCTCCTGAGATGTGCCTGCAACCAAGGTACATGCCCTTGATCGGAATCGAACCCAGGACCCTTCAGTCCGCAGGCCGACGCTCTATCCACTGAGCCAAACCAGTTTCAGCAAAACCTTCCAATTCTTAAATGTCAGCAAGAAATCCAGGCCTTGCAGGTTGCTGGCCACATAAACACATCCCCCGGCCACTCCTTTGCTGCCAGTTTGCAGCCCCTGCCTTAGGCCTCTCTTAGAACCACCGTGACATGTTACAGACAGAGAAACTGAGATGGGAAGCAAAGGGCTCCATCATTTCCTAACCCACACTGTAGCCCACTGGCCCTTCCCGTCCCCCTCCCCCCACAGCCCTCCCAGCGGGGGTCCACCCCCACCCCCACCCCTCCGCCCTACCCCAGCGGGAGGGACCGCGTCCTCGTCCCTGGGAATGAGGAATCTCTTCCTGGTGGGCGGCTCCGCCGGCTGCCGCACTCCCCCTTCGTCCATCCCGAGGCTCTGCTGGGGCCTGTGAGTGAAGACGGGGCGGCGGGAGCGAGTGAGACATCAGCATCTGCATCCCCATCCCCCCCAGCAGGAACCCCCACTCACAGCCACCTTCCCCTTCCTCCCCCGCCAAACATAAAAATAAAAATAAAAAAACCCAGGCCTCCATTGCAAACACCCAGCGCCCCAGCTTCTCCAAAACCCGGTCCGGAGGGTGCATCCCCCCCTGCGGCTCGCCCCACCCCACAAGGCCCCTAGGTTCCATCCGTCCCTCCCTCACCGCAGCCCGCCTCTCAGTGCCCGCCGGGCCGCGGTCCCCACCTCCGTCCGCCCCGCCCCAGGGAGCGCACCTGGATGCCCGCCCCGCCCTCCCCCCTGTCCATCTCGGACACCGCAGCTACGGATTGGCTGCAGCGGCTGCCACTCACCACCAGCAGCCTCCAGCCCTCTTCCCCTCCCTCCACCTGTCCCCCCGCTCACTGCCCTTCCCGCCCCAGCCCCGCAGCCTCAGCGCCGGGAGAACTCACCTCCTCGCCCCGAGCCGCCGGGAAAAGACCGGCGCGGCTAGAGCGTCCCCAGGCTCGCCGCACTTCCGGCCTCTCTAGCCCTCGAGCCCAGAGCGCGGCCCGCGCAGCGCTCTATGGTCCTGGAGGACTGTGGAGGTTCGGGCTGCAGAGAGCCCTCTGCCCTCGGGCCTGAGCGGCTCAGGTTGCCAATCAGTTCGATTGCAAAGCTCTGAGGGAGCGTCTCTTGTGTGCTGGGGCTCCGGGCAGGGCTCGCTGAGCGGGAGGTGGTGGGAGGTCAAACTAGGTCCCTTCTCTCTGCACAGCCCTGGGTTTGAATGAATCCCAGCTCTGCCATTGACCTGGCCTCAGTTTCCCCATTCATTCCTGTATTCTACACACATTCCCCAAGCCAGCGCCTCCTCGGTTCTGGCCCTGAGCCGGGCGGCGCTGGTGACACACCGATGACTAACGATAGCCCCGCGCCTGGAGCTCGTGGTCCAGGGGGAAAGGCAGGCCTGGGGTCCCAAACCGTGCAAGGCTCAGGGAGGGCTGGGCTGGGGCCCGGGAGCCCAGCGGGCCGAGGCAGGGGGTGCGTGGGTGTGCGTGGCCGGGTGTGTGACGGAGGATCCTACCCCAGCCTGAGGGTCAGAAAAAGGCTTCCTGGAGGAAGGGACATCCGAGCAGACCTGGCTGATGAGTTACAGATTAGTCATTTCCTGCAAGGAGAGTACCACGCTGTTCTAACTTGCAACTCTCTGATTACTAAGGAGAGAGAACATGTTTTCGTGAGTTTATTGGCTTTATGTGTTTTGTCTGTTGTGAATCGCTTGCTCATATCCTTTGCCCACTTTTTAAATGGGGTTTTACGCCTCCTTTATTACTATTAATTTGTAGGAGTGCTTTATGGTTTCCGATTCTCTTAGTCAGTTACATATCTTCCAAATATTTCCTTCTAGTTTGTACTTTGTATTTTAATTTTGTTTATTTCTGTCTCTCATAAATTCTTAGTGTTTATTCATAGCTGTTTCCAATCTGTCCCATCCTAGCTTCTGCTTTTGGTGTAGTTTAAGAGGCCTGCCCTGCCATACCCCAAGGTCATGAATATATTCTTTCATTTCTTTTAAGACTTTCTCTAGTTTTGCTTTTATCTTTAACCTACACAAGATTTATTAGAAAATGCCTAAGGTAGAATTTATAATGGATGCAGCCAATTGTCCTAATACCATTTATTTTAAAAGTCAATCCTGCCGAAACCAGTTTGGCTCAGTGGATAGAGTGTTGGCCTGCAGACTGAAGGGTCCCAAGTTTGATTCTGGTCAAGGGCACATGCCTGGGTTTCAGGCTCAATCCCCAGTGTGGGGTATGTGGGAGGCACAGATCAATGATAATCATTAATGTTTCTATCTTTCTCCCTCTATCTCTGAAATAAATTTTAGAAATATATGTATAAAAGTCAATCCTTGCCCCAGTTTTAATATTCCATCTTTATCATGTACCAAGTTTCCATATATATATATATATATATATATATATATATGTGTGTGTGTGTGTGTGTGTGTGTATGTGTGTATATACACACTCACACACACACACACATATACACATACACACACAGGTGTATTTCTATTATGTTTCATTGTCTTCATATCTGTTTCTTGCCTCCACCCCATACTGTTATAATTATTTTAGTTTGATATGTTTTGCTATTTACATGAGGCAAGTTCCCCCTCTATTCAGTTTCAGATTTGTCTTTACCATTCTTGTACATTTTCTCTTCTGGCTGAATTTTAGCAACTGCTTTTCTAGTGCCATGAAAAATCCTATCCTATTGGGATTGAGATTGGAATTGCATTGAATTGATGGCTTAATTATGAGAGAATTGACATTTTTTTCATATCCATGGACATATCTCTATCCACAGATTCCAGCTTTTGTTAGGAGCCTATTTTTCTTTTCTTTTTTTTTTTTTTTTTTTTACTTTTTTTTTTATTTTTTTTTTTATTTTAAATCAATCTTTATTGTTCATATTATTACAAAGGTTCCTCATTTCTTCCCCCCTCCACCAGGTTCCCACCCCACCCTCCGTCCCCCCCCCATCCCCCATTGTCCTCATCCATAGGTGCAGTTTATGTTCAGTCTCTTCTTCCCTCAATTTCCCCAATAGTAAATCCCTTTTCAGATAGTAAATCAGTTACTTAGCATTTTCTCATATCAATAATACCTCCACATGCCCAATGATACACTTCACACAAAAGACATTTCCCACTAGGTCAACCAGCCTCATCCAGGCCCCACCCAAGGCACTCACAGATCAACACCCCAGTACTAAACTAACTCAACACATCCAGATCTAAGCCTTCATCACTTGATTCAGCAGACCCTCAAGTTCCCACGAAAGTTTCCAGCCATGTCTGAGAAGCAGCCGTGGGGCAGGGGCAGGCAGGGAGCGAGCTGTTCTGGGCCTGGCTGCTCAGGGCCTGGCCTCTGTTGCTCTGGTTCATACCACAACCAGCTGCTCCGGGTCTGGTCACTGCCGCTCCCGACCTAGTTGCTCTGGACTTGGCTGCTGCTGCTCCGGGCCTGGCCGCTCCCAGCCTGGCAGCCGCTGCTCTGGGCCTGGCCGCATAGGAGCCTATTTTTCTAATTAATTTTTATTTGCACAACTGATTCATGAATACATTTTTGTATTAGTTTCCTAGGACAGGACTGTTGTAGCAAGGTACCCATGGGGGGTTAACTAGCAGAAATGTATGTCTCACAGTTCTGGAAGTCCAAAGTCAAGGTGTTGGTAGGGCCATGCCTCTCTCCCAGCTTGGGGTAGCCAGCCTTCCGTGGTCCTTGGCTTGTAGATGCCAATCTTTTTTCTTTTCTTTTTTTAATATATTTTATTGATTTTTTACAGAGAGGAAGAGAGAGCTAGAGAGCTAGAAACATCCATAAGAAAGAATCATCCATCAGCTGCCTCTTGCACACCCCCTACTGCGAATGTGCCCACAACCAAGATACATGCCCTTGACTGGAATCGAACCTGGGACCTTTCAGTCCGCAGACCGATGCTCTATCACTGAGCCAAACCGGTTTCGGCTAGATGCCAGTCTTTTCCCTGTGTCTCTTCCCTCTCTGTGTGTGTGTGTCTGTGTCTAAATTTCCGTTTCATAAGAGCATCAGTCAGATGGGATTAGAGCCCATCCTGGTGACCACAATTTCACTTCATTATCTCTGCCAAGACCTTATTTCCAAATAAGGTCACCTTGTGAGGTTAGGACTTCAATATATATATTTTTTGAGGGGACACAATTCAACCCATAATAATTCTGTTCCTTTTTATTCATGTGAGGGTACCTGCTCTTCTATTCATTCACAGACCATTGTGGACAGTACCTCCTCTGAAAATATCTTTATTTCACCCTCACCACTAGAATCTCAAATTCTGGATTCCTGGTAGCTTTCCTTGCATAATTAAAAGATACTGGTCCTCCATCTCCCCGATGTCTCTGTTGCTGATGAGAATTCTACCATCTCCCGATTCTCCTTCCTCCATAAGCAGTGTCATCACTGGTGTAATTTTCCCAGGGTCACTGACTAGTGAAGTATGGTAGCAACCATACTTGGGTAAAAATTGCTGTGTAATATTTTAACCTTGCTGTTTTGGGTTCTGTGCTCCTTTAAAAATTATTTTGAGCTGAAACCGGTTTGGCTCAGTGGATAGAGCGTCAGCCTGTGGACTGAAAGGGCGCGTCCCAGTAGTGGGTGTGCAAGAGGCAGCTGATCGATGTTTCTCTCGCATCGATGTTTCTAACTCTCTATCCCTCTCTCTTCTTCCCTGTGAAAAATCAATAAAATATATTTTTAAAAATAAGTAAAATAAAATAAAAGTTATTTTGATTTTCTGAACTTATCATCAATACTCCATCGATGATGGTTTGAATGTCCCATTGATTGTGATCTCACTGGTCATCGAAGCACATTCCTGGGACCCAAGTCAGATCAATGATCCTACATGGCCTCAGTAGCTACAGAGAGTGCTTGCATTCCTGTTGACTCAGTGATCCCAGAATCTGGACAGCACAATTATTCCAAATTGTCCAGGTGGCCGGTCCCACATAATGTGTTTCTGGTGATTCAGTGATTCGTAGATAACTAAGTTGCTCAGCTTCTGCTTCTGTGAAAATGCTTTTTTGAGAAACAGGTTCCTCATTCCAGACCCAAAAATGTTTCATTATCTATTATGTTTCATTGTCTTCATATCTGTTTTTGGATGCTTTTGGATATTCTGCCAATATAAGCCAGGGGTGGCAAGCTGTTCCGGGCTGTGAGGTCTGGAGTGCTTTGCTCCCTCGTATGCCGCCGGCTTTTAATAAATGACTCCATAGTTCGACGTTTTTGAGGCGTCCTTTGTAAGTTGGGGCTTACACTACAACACTAGCAGTGTGGCCTTGCGCCAGCAACTCAGCGCCTGTGTGTGTGTGTGTGTGTGTGTGTGTGTGAGTTTGCTCA